TTACTTTGCAAATCAATTAGTAGATACCCAATAAATTATCAGTAATTTACTTAGAAAATTATCAGTAAATTCCAAATAAATTCTAAATAAATTCTTTAGTAAATTATTTAGTAAATTCCCAGTAAATTCTCAATAAATTATTCAGTAAATTCTAATTAAAGTACTCAGTAACTTACTCAATAAATTCTCAGTAAATTACTCAGTAAATTATCAGTACATTCTTAGTAAATTACTCAGTAAATTTCCTGTAAATTCTCTGTAAATTACTCAGTAAATTATCAGTAAATTCTCAGTAAATTATTCAATAAATTCCCTGCAAATTCTCAGTAAATTACTTAGTAAATAACTCAGTGAATTGCCAGTATATTCCTTGTAAATTCTTAGTAAATTACCAATTAAATTCTCAATAAATTACTCAGTAAATTCCTAATAAATTCACAGTAAACTACTCTGTAAATTACTCAGCAAATTACGCAGTAAATTCTCAGTGAATTACACAATACATTACTCAGTAAATTATCCAGTAAATCCTTATTAAATTACTCAGTAAATTTCTGTAAATCCCTCAGAAAATTACTTTGTAAATTCGCAGAAAATTAGTCAGTGCATTCCCAGTAAATTCTCAATAAATTACTCAGTAAATTCTCAATAAATTACTTAGTAAATTCATTGGAAATTTCTCGTCAATTCTCAGTACATTCCCAGTAAATTACTCAGAAAATTCCCAATAAATTACTCAGTAAATTCCCAGTAAATTTTCAATAAATTACTAAGGAAATTCTTAGTAAATTCTTAGTAAAGTACTCACTAAATTTCGAGTAAATTCTCAGTAATTTACTTAGTAAATTCTCAGTAAATTCCATGTAAAATTTTAGTTAATTACTAAGTAAGCTCTAAGGAAATTACTTAGTAAATTCTCAGTAAATTACACAGTAAATTCTTGGTAAAATCTCAATAAATTCTCAATAAATTACTCAGTAAATTCTCTGTAAATTCCCAATAAATTTCACGATAAATTACTTAGTAAATTCCCAATAAATTACTCAGTAAATTCTCAGTAAATTATTCATTAAATTACTTAGTAAATAACTTAGTAAATTCTCAGTATATTCGTGGTAAATTCTCGGTAAATTTCCAAGAAATTACTCAGTAAATTCCCACTAAATTTGAAGTAAATTACCCGACAAATTCTCAGTAAATTACTTAATAAATTACTCAGTAAATTCCTTGTAAATTCTCAGAAAATTCCCAATAAAGTACTTAGTAAATTCACACTAAATTTTGAGTAAATTACTCACTAAATTTTCTATAAATTACTTAGTATATTACTAAGTAAATTTTCATTATATTCTTAGTGAATTAATAAGTACATTTCGCAGTATGTTACGCAGTAAATTCTCAGTAAATATTAATTAAATTACTCAGTAAATTCTAAGTACATTGCTCAAAAAATTCTCAGTAAATTCTTAGTAAATTACTCAGTAAGTTCCCAATAAATTTTCTCTAAATTACTTAGTAAATTCCTAGTAAATTCTCAATAAATTACAAAGTAAATTACTCAGTAAATTCCTATAAAATTACAAGTAAATTACTAAGTAAATCCTAGAAAATTCTAAGTAAATTACACAGTAAATTTCTCAGAAAATTACGAGTAAATTCTAAGTAAATTACTCAGTACATTCTTAGTAAATTACTCTGTAAATTTCCAGTAAATTCACAGTAAATTATTCAGTAAATTTCCAGCAAATTCTCAGTAAATTCCACGTTAAATTCCAGTAAATTAACAAAAAATTACTAAGTAAATTACTCAGTAAATTACTAGTAAATTACTTGGTAAATTCTCAGTAACTTACTCAGTAAATTCGCGCTAAATTCTCTGTATAGTACTCAGTAAATTCCCAGTAAATTTCTTATAAATTCCCGATAAATTTTTCGTAAATTTTCCGTAAATTACTTAATAAATTTGCAGTAAATTCTCAGTAAATAACTCAGTAAATTTCCAGTAAATTAAACAATAAATTACTCAGTAAATTCTATGTAAATTACTCAATAAACTTTCAGTAAATTCCCAGTAAATTCCTGGTAAATTCTTGGTAAATTTCGAGTGAACTACTTAGTAAATTGTTAGTAGATTACTCAGTAAATTCCCAGTAAATTACTCAGGAAATTCTCTGTACATTACTCAGAAATTACTCAGAAAATTCCCAGTAAATTTTTAAAAAATTCTCAGTAAATTATTCAATACATTACTCAGTAAATTCCTAGTAAATTCTCAATAAATTACCCAGTAAATTCTCAGCAAGTTACTTAGAAAATTCCGAATAAATTTCAAAAAATTCTCAGTAAATTATTTAGTACATCACTCAGTAAATTCTAAGAAAATTACTCAGTAAATTCTCACTAAATTGCCAGTAAATTAGTCAGTACATTACTTAGTAAATTCGCAGTAAATTACTCAGTAAATTCTAGTACTTCAGTGGTAACTGTTGTTGTATGCAAATTCCACCAACGGTAGGTGAGTTTCCCAACTTCTTTTGAAGTCCACGGCACACATCCGAAACATGTCTTCCAATGTTTGTATAATTCTCTCAGATTGTCCATCGGTTTGAGGGTGGAAGGTTGTACTGAATTTCAATTCTATTCCCAAGGCCTCCTGCAGACTTCGCCAAAATCTTGATACGAACTTCGGATCTCTATCAGAAACGATTGAAACTGGAATACCATGTAGCTGCACAATTTCATCCACATATAAGGTGGCCAGCTTATCTGCATTGTATTGAGTCTTTACAGGGAGAAAATGAGCTGACTTGGTTAGTCTGTCAACAATAACCCATATAGAGTTCATACCCCGGGGAGTTCGCGATAAACCCACAATAAAATCCATAGTTAAGTGTTCCCATTTCCATTCTGGAATTAGGAGGGGTTGTAGTAGGCCCGCCAGTCGTTGGTGCTCTGCTTTCACCTGTTGACAGTGCAAACATTTTGAGACAAATTCTGCAATTTCCTTCTTCATTCCCGGCCACCAAAAATTCTACTTCAGATCATGGTACATTTTTGTGTTACCCGGATGCATTGCAAATTTGGAGCTATGCGCTTTCTCTATGATTCTCTTCTTGATTTCTGGTACATTGGGGACACACCACCTACCCTGGAATTTTACCATCGAATTTTCAATTATGAACCCAGGCCTTGGTTTCGTTTCCATTTCGCCATTAATTTTCTGTAGAAATTCATCTTCCAGTTGCCGTTGCTTAATTTCCTCCAAAAGTATTGGTTGAACTGACACCATTGCCAGTACCGCATCATGGCCATGAAACACAATTTACATATTCATTCTTTCCAAATCATGTAATAGCTCTTTCTGGCTTGTAAGTAAACTCGCTAAATTCCCTGTACCTTTTCAACTAAGGGCATTTGCAGCTGTATTACCTTTACCGGGGTGGTAATGAATTTGTAGGTCATAGTCTTTAATAAGCTCTAACCACCATCTTTGTCGTATGTTCAACTCTTTTTGAGTGAAAAAGTACTTAAGACTCTTATGATCAGTGTAAACCTCACATCTAGCCCCATATAGATAGTGACGCCATATTTTCAAAGCAAAGACCACTATAGCTAGCTCAAGGTTGTGTGTGGGGTAGTTCTTTTCATGGGATTTAAGTTGATGAGAGGTGTATGCAATAACCCTCCCATTTTGCATAAGTACACAGCCCAAACCTTTGTGAGAAGCGTCACTATAAATCTCAAATCCTTCATTACCAGATGGCAAGGCCAGAACAGGTGTTGTAGTTAATCTTGTCTTCAATTCCTAAAAGGCAAATTCCCGTTGCTCCGACCACTCAAATAATACACCTTTCTGGGTTAACTGAGTAAGCGGCACCACAATTTTGGAAAAGTCTTGAACAAATCGTCGGTAGTATCCAGCTAAACCCAGGAAACTACACACTTCTGACACATTTGTAGGCGTCAACCACTTCACAATAGCTTCAATCTTGTGTAGATCAACGAAATCACCCTCCTTTGTCACCACATGTCCCAAAAATCCTACTTCATGTAACCAAAATTCACATTTCTTTAATTTCACATACAGTTTCTTATCCCGAAGAGTTTGAAGAATTATCAATAGATGGCTCTCATGAGCTGCTACACTTGTTGAGTAGATAAGGATATCATCAATAAACACAACTACAAAGTCATCCAGGTAGGGCTTAAAAACTCGGTTCATCAAATCCATGAAGGCCGCTGGTGCATTAGTGACCCCGAATGGCATAACTAAAAAATCATAATGTCCATAACGGGTCCGGAAGACAGTTTTCTTGACATCCTCAGCTTTAACCTTCAATTGGTGATACCCAGACCGCAAATCTATTTTAGAAAAGACTTGTGCACCTTGTAATTGATCAAACAGATCATCAATCCTCAGCAAAGGATATTTATTCTTTATGGTTACTTTATTAAGCTCTCTATAATCCATGCACAGCCGAAGGGTCCCGTCTTTCTTTTTCACAAAAAAGACTGGTGCGCCCCAAGGGGAAGTGCTTGAACGAATGAATCCTTTATCAAGCAGGTCTTGTAGTTGAATTTTCAACTCCTTCATTTTAGCGGGAGACATTCTATAAGGGGTTTTAGAAATGGGCTAAGTTCCTGGCATTATATCAATTGTAAACTTAATTTCACAATCAATTAGCTCTCCCGGTAATTCATCTGTAAAAACATCCGAAAAATCCCCCACAATTGGAATTGCATTAATGCCTCCATTCACTAGTTGTTCACCCACGATACTACACAAATACCCTTGACTACCCTTCTGGAGTAACTTACATGCCTTTATTGCAGAAATCAGATAGGGTGGGGAAACTACCCTCTGGTCCTTAAAAACAAACTCAGATTGTCCTGGGAGTTGGAACATAACTTGCTTCGAGACACAATCTATAGTCGCGTGATACTTGCTTAACCAATCCATCCCCAAAATTATGTCAAAATAAGCCATATCAAGCGGCAACAAGTTGGCATCTACCCAAACATCCCTGATTAGGATTTCACATGCAAAATAAATAAATGAACATACCATGGACTCCCCTGAAGGTGAAGATACACACAAAACATAAGGTAATGGTTCCATTGGCCTACTCAAGTAACTAGCAAATGCTTTTGATACAAAGGAATGGGTAGAACCCGAGTCAAATAACACATGTGCAAAATGACCATTAACGAAAAATGTGCCTTATACCATAACCTCGGTATTTTGTACATCGCCCAGAACTAGCTGAAATACCCTTCCTTGTTTGGTGGTGTCTGTAGCGTTGGAGGGTTTCGTGGCTGCCTTTATAGCTGGGGTAGGGGTTGATCCAACTGAACTTGCGGTGGTTCTATTTCCATTTTTTTGACTCTTTTATGGACACTCTCTGACCAAATGACCTGTCTTGCCACACTTAAAGCATGCTTCGGTTACCCGATAACAAATTCCACGGTGTCTCTTCCCACAATCCGAACAAATTGTTGCAGAATCACGGGTAGAAGCAGATGGACTAGAAGTTCCTGAATTCAACTTCTTACTTGGCGGTGTCACCGAGCCCCTTGAGGTTTGGATATTTTGTCTTTTCCCTCTCCATTTCGAGACCCGACTTTGAGCGACAACATTACCTTCTGCAATCACTGCCCTTTCCAACACATTGACATACGTAGGTAGTTTCAACACATTAATTTGGTCGAGAATAGCAGTCCGTAACCCACCTTCAAACTTTCTTGCCTTCTTGTAGTCCGTATACACCATATGTGGTGCGAAACGGGCCAATTCAGCAAATTGAGCCTCATACTCTACAACAGTCCTGTTCCCCTGCCTCAAGGTCTCAAACTTAGTCACCTTCTTATCTCGCATACTTTGAGGAAAATACTTGTCATAAAACAGTTCCAAAAATCTATCCCATGTTAATCCTTGATGTACAGTTTTCGTGAGCATCCACCATCTTCGTGCCTCATCTTCAAGAGTGAAGGAAGCAAGTTGCACTTTTTGAACTTCAGTACAAGAAAAAGCCTCAAATAACTTTTCTATACCCAACACCCACGTTTCTGCTTTCATTGGTTCAATTCATCATTTGAACGAAGGCGGCTTCATCTTTTTGAATTCCTTTGTGAATGTAATTGTATGATCCTCAGCTTGATAATCTTGCATACCTGGCGGTGGTACAGGTATGGGTGGTGGTGGTTGTTGCTGTTGCTGCTGTTGTTGCCTCAAAGTTTCTGCCATCTCCATAACCATCGTTTCCATTCTATCCAAGTTTACGGAGGTAGGATCTTCCGGATCATCGATTCTGATTCTCACCATGATCTACATAATGGTTAGTTATAATACATACAGAAATGCACAAGTAGGCATGGATCATGATCATTACCAATATGTATATATATCCATGATTACTGAATATGCACCGAAAGTCACATGAAAGTATGACTTAAATCTTTACTAGATGCCTTAAAGCTCAATGAACTCGTGCGTGAGGTAGCAACTCGTGCTCTGATACCAACTGTCACAATCCAAACCTGCCCTTAAAAGTTTGGACATGATCGGCCTAACTCGAGGCCTAAACTTCGTTCGTTAAATGTTACTCAATCTCGGGGCCTGAACGGAAGCAAAATAATAGAAGAATAATATTCATTGAGCTGTGTCTAAATACCAGGATCATGTCGCATTACTATACATACATAACATTCCATGCACCATTTATATAACTGAACACAAAAGGGATCAACTCGGAAGTTAAGTGTTAACAGTATCTAGAGATACACATCCATTGGTCCCAACATTATAATAAAATATGCCATCATAGGGATCCTCAAAATTATAACAAAAGAGTCACTTCGGGTGGCTCATCAAAACGGTTTCAGCTACAGGCTTCTGGGCTGACCTAGGGTTGACTCGCAAGCTGGTTACCTGCAAAACATTTAGGAAAGTAGAGTGAGCAAGGCTCAGTGAATGGTAGTAATACAAATAAATCAAAAGTACGAACATGGTTAACAATGCATATTCACAAATCATAATCTTTCTCATTTTTCCTTTCCTGAATGACCTCGAGCCCACATAAGACAGAACGGCCTTAGGCCCATCATAATACGAAACGGCCTTAGGCCCAACAGAATGTAGAACGGCCTTAGGCCCAACAAAATATAGAACGGCCTTAGGCCCATCATAATGTAGAACGACCTTAGGCCCAATAGAATACAGAACGACCTTAGGCCCATCATAATGCAGAACGGCCTTAGGCCCAATAAGATAGCAAATCGAATGACCTCGGGTCCACATTTCACATGTCAAGGTTCAAACATACATCAAACCTACCGTATATAACATAAAGTGCTCACAAAAGTGAAGAATGTTTCGGGTAACATATATATGCACAAAACGTGAATAGAGCATCATACTACGCTACTACCACTCATTGTTATGTGGGTGAACGCCGGGTCCCTCCTATGGATGCCCTACACAGCACAAATCGTAAGTACATTACCTTTTCATAATTGCCTTTTATTTCTCATTATTCGATTCGCTATGTTTCGTAATTAAAGGCATTATAGGAGCATCAAACGGACATAATAACATGTTCAGAGAGTCGAGAAAAGCGAAACAAAATTACAGAATTTTCAAACTTGGGCCGCATGTGTGTCACGCCCCAAACCCGCCCCTAAAAGTTTGGGCATGACCCGTTTGAAAACGAACACTTAACCTGTAGTAAATAACATATGGAGCCTCATCGGAAGAATAAAGTAGGAAAATAACTATACATATAAATTCCATTGAGCTACATCTACATGCTAGGACCTCTTATACATCACATTCATCATGGAAAATAGATAAAGCTCCAAACCATATGTTGTAGCATCGGTGATAAACAACCATATGTACAGACCCAGCCCCATCATTGGGCTTATATAAAAATCATTGAAGTTCTACCTCTTTAACTTTAAATGGGTAATCAAAATTAAGCCAACATTTCAATAGACTTTACAAAAATAAATGGCTTCGTGCAGTGCCTGAACCCACGAAGGTTGACAAAAGAAAACGGGTGTCATGACTAGGACTGACCACTTGGTTGGTTACCTACAGAAACATACATTAGACAGAGTGAGCCAAGCTCAGTGAATAGTAATACATAAATAAAACGATGCTTAAATTGAAACATAACACATAGCAATGCATATAAAGATGTAGAGTTCACATAGTTAGTCTGATTCTGTGCTACGTACATAACGGCCTTAAGTTCAATCTTGCAACATAAACATGGTGGCTATAAGCCCTTGAAACTTGTGGCACTAAGGCCCTTGAAGCATGTGGCATAAAGCCCTTGTAACATATGGCACTAAGGCCCTTGAAACATATGGCATAAAGCCCTTGTAAAGTTGGCATGAAGCCCTTGAAAAGTTGGCATGAAGCCCTTGGACATGCATATATGAACCCAAGAGGTGTCTCACACGGACTCTAGAGGTAACTCACAATGTAGCACTTAGTTCCGTGTAGCACTTTGTTTCATTTCATAAAAAATTATACGGATGGCTATAAGCCTCATAACTTTTACATATGTATGGACTCAAGAGGTGTCTCACATGGACTCTAGCGGTGGCTCACAATGTAGCACTTAGTTCCAAGTAGCACTTTCTTCCATACCAATAATCATTAGGTCTTACAGACCAAACCATACATGTAATGTCATACCCCGGAAATAAATTCATACATATGCATTATGCTTGAATCATAAATAGAAATCAGAATTCATACTTGCTTATACTTGGCACTGTAATAGTGCTAGCAAATCAATAATAAGTATTTTTTTTTTTTGTTCGTTCCATAAAGGAATCCTCCAACATTGTGAACTTGTAGCATACTTGAACATGTACATACATAAACTGGTAACATACGTAAACTTGTGACAGACTTAAACTTGTAACATATACTTGAAACATACCTGAACATACTTGAACATCATTCATTAATTCAAACGGAACATATCATAACTAGAGCATTTCTTGTTGTATCGTGTCATTATCGTACGCTTAACAATGAGAGACTGATTCACATTCTCATGAGGGTCACATAATGATGCTAAACTTTGCACTTATCGTAGATTCTGGATCACTTCCAATTCATAAACAACATAACAAATTAACTTCAATTCATCTGGATACATGTAGCTACTCTTATATTTACTCAGAATCCATTCTTCAAGAATGAACATAAATTCTTTTGGGAAAATGACTTACTTTACGTGCTCTCTTATCAATATCATACACCTTTGTTTAATCATTGTTATATATTAACATAGTTGCCTTGCCTTGTAATTAACATAGTCCTAATGGTAACTGTTACATCATTCCCATGAGTTCACATAATTAACGTAAAGTTAACAGGACATTCCTGATAATTAGTAACGAAAAGTAAGTACATTCTCATTAGATTATAGATGACTTTATTGGTTTCACAATTTCACAGTTCGGCCCTTGGCCTGAGGGGTTCACACAATCACAAGTTCCTTTGATGTTTTCATAATTCCATAATGTTTCTCACATAACATACATAACTTCATAAACTCTTTTGAAGTTTCCATAATTTCACAGTGTTTCTCACATAGCATTCATAACATTTATGTCAACATAATTCTTACGATGAAGATTTAACATCAATAACGATAAATGGTTAAAGGTACATCAAAGTACTACTACTCACAGTGATCGGTTCCCGGTGGTAATGGTACAATGTCCTCGTCTCGACCTACAATTACAGTGCACAACACATAATATGAGGTTATACTTGATCCTTTACTTATTCTCTTTGATCGTCCAATCAATTAGTCATGGTGGTACCAAGCTCATTATTCTTTAATATGTTGTAATCCATGTCTTAGAAAATAGGAGAAATCGATAGGAAATGGTTTAGGTGAAGAAATGGTACACAACTAATTGACATAACGTGAATAGTCGTCACTAAATTGGGTATAACTTTTTCTGTATTTTGAATTTGGGAGTGAGACTAGCGCCATTGGAAACTAGACTTCTAGGGATTGATTTTAGGCTCAAGAATCACTCAAAACGGAGTCCGGATGCAAAAGATATACCTACTCAAAGTTGGCTGGACAGAGCTGTCTCTGCACGTGCGGGTGAACAGTGCCGCACGTGCGGCCCTAGACAGCAGCAGTCCGAAAATGGCTGAAATTGTGGGACTTCTCATTTTCAAAAATCAAACCTTAATTACATGTAAATCAAAGCCCAAAACCCTTTAATACATGACCAATTTCACATTATTATTCTTCATCAAACACCATAATCTCACAATAAACAAATTTAATGATTTTACTTCTTCAATTAAGGAATTCTTAGAAAATCAAGGTTCATGGGTTCAAAGCTCACATTTTCTATATCAATCCATGATTTCAAGTAGTAGATGGATTCTATACAAGGTTAGTAATTAGAGCCACATACCTTACCCAAACCTTTGTTCATCCCTTAGTCTCTTCAATTTTTCCCAAGCTTTTGGTTGATCTTTCCTCTCTCTTCTATCTTCTTCAACCATCTTCAAGCTTCCATGGATGTTGAATTCCTTAGGGAGAAACTTTGCCTCTTCTCTCTCTCTCTCTCACGGTTCTCCTTCCCCTTTCTCTAGATATTTTTATTTTTTTGTTTGGTTCAAAATAGATGAGTTCAACAACTCATAAGGCATATATGCATATATAAAAGCTTCCCACAAATAGGAAGGGCCAAACACGCCCTTACGAATCGCACAAAATCACATTTCAATTAAACTTCCCAGATAACTCTAAAAATTATGCTGATCATAAATATGTCCCCTGTTCCGGTATCTGAAGTCTTTAAGGCCTTTAATTTGCAGTATAAAGTTAATCACCCAAACGTCTATTAACGAATCAGACAAATTAGATTTCAAATTAATTTTTCCAAATAATTCCAAAAATTCCCATTAACATATCTCAGTACTCAATTTTGATTTTTGAACCCATAAAGGTCGGTAATTCCCATTTTAAGTCCGTAACTCAACTGATAATGCTTCAATTCTAATAGATATAATTAAATTAAACCACATCATTTCATATGGAAATAAAGATGATTTCTTATACGCATTTTGGGGTCATTACAATGTGCCTTTTTAGCAGTGTAGTTCGACCATTCTCCCTTGTTTTCTGCACGTGTGGCTATGATCCCCGCACGTGTGGCCGTGCCTCCCACACGGCCATGGGCCCCCGAACATGCTGTCATTTCCTCTATTTTTCAGTCCGAAACTTCAACAATTCCAAGTTCACAAGGGGTAGTCTCATAGCCAAAAGCAAGGTAGATTTACACTAAAATCATAGCATATAAACATATAAACACGAAATTCTAGCCCTTTGGCCTTTACACCTCAAAATTTTCATGATTCCCTCACTCACACTTTGAAAATATACATGTACAATGTCTACCTTTCTTTTATGTGAATTCAAACACTCAAAAGAGCTAGAGTAAGCAAAACATAGAGAAATCAAGTGACTAAGTTCCCCATCATACATGTTCAAGAGATACATGGTCATTTATGAGATTCAATTATTCTCAATCATAACCCTAGCTTTCATGGAGGAAGAATACTTCAAGTCAAAACTTAATTCCAACCAACTGAAGAGGAATTAAGAGTTTACTAATGATTTGTACTCACCTTAAGTTGGATTCTTCAATTGTTCCTAGCAAGTTCTTCAACCTCCAAATCTTATTGACTCTCCCCTTCTCCTTTTTCCTTTCTCTCTTCTTCAAGGTTTTCAAGATTTTCTACTTAGCATATATATGTATATAAAGAGATGAGTTCAAAGAGGGATTTATATAACACATAAGTAAGTCGTTAATTTCTAGACTTGCCAAACAAGCCCTAGCGAATCAGAAAAAATAAATTTTCAATTAAACCTGCCAAGTATCTTTAAAAATTCCCACTAGCATATGTAAATGCTCAATTTCAGTTTATCGTGCCTCTACGGCTTTTAGCTTTCAAGTTAACATTTTAATTTTAACAGATGTGTTCCAATAATCAACAGATAGAAAACATGATTAAACAATTCACACATGTAAACATAACTTTGCATGAAATTTTCACATTAAACATGTAATTTTTCATAGAACTAGGGATGTAAAGCATATAAGAGGGTCGGGTCATTACAGTTACCCTGTCCTAGTTTCGTCAGGAGCTAGGGTTTTCACTATGCAAACAAGGTGTTTCGCACAATCCTATACTCGGGTAAGCATCATGTCCTAGTTTGGAACAGTCTCTATGGTTTTTGATATGCAACTAGGCCGATTGGTAAAAAAAAGGGTACCTCAGCAAGACTACCTAATATACCTATCACACCTAACACCGAGAAGTGGAATGAGGATCAAACGGTACAGCGGTAGTCCAGATCCAAGGGTTGTGTTCCCATCGTAGCAGAGCCCGCAACCGGTCAGCCTTTTGGCAAGCTTTTCCAAGCAAGCCTCCGGCAAACCATTCAGGAATAATAGATGGCAAACACTGTGACTCGCCTTTTTTCGCGCCCCCTTTCGGACGGTTTGAAATGAAGGCCTCACAGTTCGGACTCCCACGATTTTGAATCTAGTCTCACAAGTGCAATGTGAAATTGATAAACACCAAAGAGTCGAAATCCGGCAAATCTTTTTGAAAAATCAATTTTAAATCAAATAATGCCAAAATTGGACTGCTTTTCCAGATACAGAGTCGTCACCTAAATATTTTTTGTTTTGGAAAAATTTAGGAAACCCTGACTCATGCCAAAGGCCACGTGTCTGTCATCACCAAAGTTTGCGGTTATTGTTGTTGCAGCCTGTTTATTACCTCGGCCTGACGTGCTGTGACCTCAACCTAACGAGCAGCGTCTTGTTGTATGTAGAGTTTCAACTATTCGTTGGAGATGATGAATCAAGTCCTCCATACTAACTGGGGGATACTGTGCCGTCGGAATGGGCGAGTGATCTCATGCTAGACTAAATGTAGAAGATTGTCCCTGAGCCTAACTAGATGCAGGTGAAGTGAGGGGTGACTACTGTAGAAACTGAACCGGTGAACTCTGCCTGACTCTCCTTCGTCTTGTAAACGATGGGAGTGAAGTAAACATGAGCTGTCCCCTAACAAGATCTCCGGCTTTGCAAAGCCTTCTAACTTGGGTCCAGAGTGCTTGGGGGATATCCGAACTGTCTGAAGCTATGGTGTTATACTACCTAGCAAAAAGAAATAAAGCAAAAAGAAAGCAGTAATCAGAAACCGCACAGTACCTCAGCTCATATGTTAACAACACACAGATGTAATCAAAGCCGTAGGACTGCACTCAATACAGAATTCTATCCCCAAAACTGATACCCAACTTGCAACTGATACGCACATTCCTGTACAGTTTCACTGTAAAGCACATACCAGTTAAGTGAGAGCCAAAACACCCCTATCAGGGGATAGGGTTACCCTGTCCTAGTTTCGTCAGGAACTAGGGTTCACTATTCAAACAAAGCGGTTCTACGCAATCCTGTATTTGGGTAAACATCTTGTCCTAGTTTGGAACAGTCTCTATGGCTTTCGATATGTAACTAGGCCAAATGGTCAAAAAGGGTACCTCAGCAAGACTACCTAATATACCTATCACACCTAACACTGAGAAGTGAAATGAGGATCAAACGGTACAGCTGTAATAACCCTCACGCTATCCTAACCATACTCATATGCATTCATGTGAATCTGTCTTGTAAACTTGCATTTCGAGTTTTGTCCTTGTTTGTTTAAGTGTTACAGCATGTTTTGTACCCTGCTTGGTGTGAGTTTAGCCGAGGGCGTCTTTAGTCTAGAACTTCCTTGGAACCACTTTGTTTGACCTCTACCTTCACCTTGAAATACTGGCCGAGATGTCATTATCTAGGCCGAGGTGTTCATCACCAAGGCCGAGGTGTGAATTATCTAGGCCGAGATGTTACCTTTGCACCTAAGTGATCTTGTCTCGGAGAGGTATGACCTAGACCGAGGTGTGGCACATCGAGGCCAAGGTGTGGCACAGCTTAGTCAAGCGTTGTCTTTCCTAGCCGAGATCATTATTCCCTACCTGCCGATGTCTTGTTCTTAGCCGAGATCATTACTCACCAGAGTGCCCATGCCGTCTTGCTTGTTGAACACACTTTGTCATAGTTTTGTCTTGTCACTCAGCCGCCTTTCTGTGTAGCACCAACCAGCCGCTGCCACGTGCCTCTGTAGAGGGTTAAGTCAACCAGCAGACTCGGAAATGTATCATTTTGCTATATGTCTTTGTTTGTGAGGAGAGAGAAGCTCTAGAAGAAGAAGAAGAAGTTTAGAGTGAGAGAGTGGGTTTCGAGCTTGATTCCTAGAGATCAAACCATTAGATTCGCGCATTGAGGTTAGATTCTTGATCTACTCTTGTCATTTGTATTGATCATCTAGCTGCATTGCATGATCAAACCCGTTTTGCATGTCATGCATCGATTTAAAGTTGGTTTTACAAAGAGAAAATGGTGTTCATGTGTTCTTGAAAGAAAGGTCTTGTTTGATCTGAAAGCTTGCATTAAGTTTCGTGTTTTTGTATTTGTTCTCACTAGATCCTTGAATATGGGTACCCAGGTCCATGTTTTTGAACTCATAGCATGAAATCTCAGATTTTGTATAGCAAATCACGATCTTTGCATTCATCTCCCTGATGTTCATGTTCTTCATGTTCATCATGTTCTTCAAGAAAGAGAGACCCAGATTTTTCCCGACTTCATTCCTTTGAATGTGGCCATCGGGGCCACACCTCGGCAAGGGGGTGTGGAACCTCGGCCTAGACCTGGTAGTTGCCCAACATGTTTTCCGAGATAAAGAATTGTGTTTGTTTTGATTTGACTTAGTCTTGGGGAATGAATGCCGAGATCATCTGCACGCATGTGAAACTTGTTTGGAAGTGCATTCAACAGACTTTGCCATGTGTTTGTAGGATTTGGACTTGCCTTGACCCCGACGCTTGAAGAACTAAGTGAGTGGTATTTTTAATAAAGCTATGTTATAATGCTTTAATAAAGTCTTGTTTTGCTTCGTTTTGGAAAGTATTTGTAAGCATGAATGGTTATTCCTAATTGGAAAATATATATACATATCTTGTTTTGTACGTGCTAAGGGACTATAAGCACTTGTAGCACAAAGTTTGGAAGTCCGTACGTGCTAAGGGACTATAAGCACTTGTAGCACAAAGTTTGGAAGTCCGTACGTGCTAAGGGACTATAAGCACTTGTAGCACAAAGTTTGGAAGTCCGTACGTGCTAAGGGACTATAAGCACTTGTAGCACAAAGTTTGGAAGTCCGTACGTGCTAAGGGACTATAAGCACTTGTAGCACAAGTCCTTAGTGTCCGGGGACTATAATGCAACGACACCATTGAATTGAGATATCTCCCTTGTCTTGCCTTGTCTTGTCTTGTTTGCCACTGACGGTTTACCGCGTGGGTTTTGTTCGCCGAGATGTCATCACTTGTATTATAATGATGTTAGTAAGCATCCTTTGAAACTCGACAGATTTGCTAGATGGACTTGGTTCATCCTTTGACTTGCACTAATTATGTTATGTATTGTTTGATAAAGATCTTGAATACCAGTCATGCAAACCCCTTTATTTCTTATATCATTCACTGAGTATCCAAGCTCACCCTTTCTATATATA